CTCAACAGACTCTTTCTCCACCCTTTTTGCCGGACTAGTGCCATCATCTTTGAGCTTAGGATCAATATCCACACTCACTTTAAGAGAAGATGTTTGCGGCCTACCACGGTCTAGAACCAAACTCATCTTGCCACTATCCTTGCTCCTCCCAAACATGCCACTACCTGAGCTTCCCCCTTCTAACCATTTGTGCTTCTGATCTCCCTGTCCCTTCCAGCGAGAAGGACTCACCCGCATCCACTCCCCCAAACTGCCTGCCCCTCCTCCTCCTCCACACAAAAGTCGCACTCCTTCTCCACATGGCCGAGACGCCCACAACCATAGCAGAAGTTTGGGATGAATTCATAACGTACCGAGCACCAGCAGTCCTCCCCCCTCTTCTCCTTCCACCAGAATACCACGCCTCAATGGTTTACGATTGTCAATCTTCACTTTTATTCTCAAAAAATCCCAACAACGGTTGTACCATCCTCCTCCATGTCAACCGCCATAGCTCTCCCAATCTGGTTCCCCAGCAGCATTCCATTTGTAGTCCATCATCCCAAGAGGGAGATCGAAGACCCTGACCTTGACCGGAATGTGAGTGAACTCAATGTCCTTCAACCTCTTGCTCCTGTCAAAATCAGCCACCACCAGCAGATCACCCCCAAACTCCCAGGGTCCTTCCATGATGGCTCTCTAGTTTTGCCACCTGCCTGCAGGAACGTGAAGAGGAAGAGATTTTGCCCGAGCTCCTTGCACCAAACCCCTTGCCCCGGCACCAGATTCTACCCAAGGTTTGCGCAATCCCCTCTGCGTACCCTGCCTTGCTCGTGAACAGCTTCCCTATTGCCTACGTCGCTTGCTCCCCGTCGCCACCCTCCATCCGCCATTGTTCCTTTCACCTTGCTCTTCTCCTCCTCCGAGAGCTTTAGCCCCTTTAGGAGGCCCTCCAAACCCTCACCGCCACCACCATTGTTGCGCTTGCCCTTCCCGCCCCAACTCCCCGCCGCCTCCAACAACACCCGAACTTGCTCATCTCGCACTACCAATCCGACCCTCCGCGCTGTGGGAACTGCGATTGAGTGGCTACTGAGCCGAATCGAGGTGGGATCCGAGGATTTTTCCCCTCTGAAATGCTAGATCTAGTCTAGGTTCAGCACCTTCTCTGAGGCCTTGTTTAGTTGGCCGAATTCGGTGCCGCCGGATTCACTGTGCGCCATTGTAGCGCACTGTAGCATTTCGTTTGTATTTGATAATAATTGTCCAATCGTTGACTAATTAGGCTCAAAACGTTCGTCTCGCAAAGTACAACTTAATTGTGCAATTAGTTTTTGATTTCGTCTACATTTAGTACTCCATGTATGTACCACAAGTTTGATGTGACGGAGAATCTTTTTTTTTCATAGTGTCAAAGTTGGGAGTTGGGAGCAACTAAACAAGGCCTGAGTCGCCTAAGGGTCTCCGTGACCCCTGACTAAACCAGAGACGCGGTAGGGCCCATTTTATTGGATCTCTATCACGAACAATCTCTATCTAAAATTTGACGTCCGGTATTCATGTCTAGGTTGAAAGCAAACAGCCACTTACATCATACGCCAAGACAAATAGACAATAGTCGCCCAAACGCGCGCCTTAACATTGGCCAGCTTTTGTTTTTGTTTTGGAAAAGTTACCGGGAGCTCTGCCATATATATAATTTAACAACAGGAGCAAGGCAAGTTTTACACCGTTTGATTACATTTTGGCGAAGGAAACACATACTCAAACTAAAACAAACTCATTAATCTATCCTAGAGCCGAGGTGTATCTTTTTCCTTAAAATTTGTTGTCTTCCCCTATTGGCCACTTGACCAGTGTTGCCCCAACCTTCACATCAACATGTAACTCTATGTCACACTCGACAGTGGCCTTTCAAGTGTTAGATAAACACATATATAGAGGTAGCGATGGTTTCACCTGACAAAAAGTGGAGAGATTACATGGGTCCCAACCGATCAAGCAAACAATCGAAACCACGGAGTCCAATCCACACCATGTTTTTTTTAAAGATCCGGCTACCCGGCATTGCATTAATAAGAAAAGTTTAGAGTTTGCGACTTACAAGCGCGAGCAGCGCTACCTCACGCAGCAGACACTGCTGCATGAGGTTTGGAAAATACTAGGTTAATTACTCACAGCCGGGTTTACAATCGTTACGGTTCCAAGAACCTCGCCACCCACCCCCCCACTCATCTCTCACAACTTGTCCAGTTGTCCTTCGATCTTCGCGGAAGACCATCGCATTCCGCTGCTTCCAGACGTGCCATGGAGTCAGGATGGCAAGCTGAGTGTGCTGCTTTTGTTCCCTTGTTTGTCAATTCTAGAAAGCAATCTTCCATTTGATTGTGCTGAATCCATTCCGACGGGCGAAAGTTCTGACAGTTGCTCCAAACTGCCACCAGCTCCCAGACAGTTTGCGTGAACAGACACTCGATGAAAAGGTGGAGGGAGGTCTCCAGGTTTCTTTCGCATAACGTGCAAAAATAATTGTTTCTCCATCCTCGTAGTTGTAGTCTCGCCGCAGTCCATAGTCTATCTTGTAGTAAGAGCCACATGAAGAATTTGCATCGCTGCGGTGCACATAATCCACACCATGTTGCATGTGAAAAGCCTAGCGACCGAAGAATTAAGCTACATCCGTGGGTGAGTGCAAAGAAGAAAATTTGGGTAAGTTCCTCCAATTTTTGCGATAGAGGACACCTAGAAGGTGGATTTGTGATGCCAGAAGGTCAATTAGAGGGCGAAACGATCGATTTTGAGCATCGGCTGCCAATTTTTGCTGAATTTGGTAGCAGATTTGAGTTTGACTGTCAATGGTAGTACACAGTCTCTTTTTGCTGAACCACAGAAGAACGTCTACGGTCTGCCATCCAACGTCAAAAGCGACATGCCTTCCATCGATACTCTTCAACAGCAGATCGCCTAGGGTCTGCCATCCCACGTCAAAAGCGACATGCCTTCTATTCTGCATTTAGCTAACTATAAAAATTAGCCCTAATTCATAGAGCTACTAGGTGGGCTATTTTTTTTTATCCAAGCCTAACTAGTTGTGCTAACCAACCCTATCTAATCTAGACTAATTTTTAGTCTAGACTAGTAACAAGGCCTTCTGATCAAACGCCTAGATACTACGACCCGACGTAACACCAGAAGTTAACACTCCCGATACAGAAAACAAGCTAGGATTGCCAGCTTAAGTTCTGAACGCTGACAATTCGCAGATATAATAAAACACTAAACCCACCAAATCGCGCTTACCATCACCAAGAGAGCTGTGGACAGCAACAAAAACTGATTAACGGAACAACAAAATATTGAAACTTTCTTTCCAAGACTGGCTGCTTCATCAAGGATTCAAGGTCTACTCAGAATCAGGTATATCCAGACATCTTGAAGTCTTACAGTACAATGATTACTCCAGAAACACAACCGACAAGAAAAACTGTCATTAACAATACTATTCGAAAGACCAAGATCCTCATTATCCATTGCTCTCAAAAGTATCGCTCTACTCCCATGCTAGTCGTCCTGTACTCCTGTAAGCCTGCACAAAACACAGGATAAGTTATTAGGACACTCATTGTACTCGCATGAGAACAAGAAATTATTACTTAGCTACTCGAATTGTGCATTGCTTCTATTTACATGTGACCTGAAATGGAAACGCTTGATACATTCTACTGCAATGCCATTGATAACAGAGTGTACACACTTTTTTTACTCAGTAGTCGGCAGCTACACTGATCATGTCTACAAAGCCATCAATCATGGTAAGATATAGTCAGGGAATCACAGTGTTTCATATTTCAATCAGATTTTCACAATAAATTCACGTGCCTGAACCTTGAAAGGATGGAATATACCCAAAGACTTAGCCTTAGATAGGAGTGCTTGGAAAACAGCTATTCACGTGCCTGAACCTTGATTGCTTCTGCTGGGTTTCAACTCTAGCCTACCCCAACTTGTTTGGGACTTAAAGGCTTTGTTGTTGTTGTTGTTGTTGTTGTTGTTTCACAATAAATTCAAAATTCTAGCAGCATGACAAGGGTTGGACATGTGACTCTGTAATAGAAATAGTTAGGAAGGCAACTTGTCCCTCAAATGGTGATCACTTAACCATGATTCCTCGAAACATGAAGCAGGGAAAATAAAATTTTATCAAAGAGATGAACTGTCAGCTACTCAGCTCCCTTAGGCGAAAATCAATCCACGTTATAAGCATACATCTATAATTGGTCATCAGTAGGTTTTGTTTAAAAGACCCTTATTGGGGGGTGGGGGAGACTGTCATGACTCTAGATTTAGAGGGAAATTGACATAGCTTGAACCACCATGTTTGCAGTATGAAAAGTTGCAAAAAAGGTGTTCAGATAACAAAAATAAATCAAGGGCCAGTACTATACAATGTACAATTATGTTTGCCTAGTGAGGAATGATAAACTCCAACTCTCCTCAGCAATTCAGACAAAAGAAAAAAAAAACTTTGCAACGTATATTAAATCTAAATAAATAACTCTGATGAGTTACAAACTGATACTAACTTGAGGCTGACATCCAAAACTGAGTTCACAAGTCAACAATCAGTTGGAACCAATGACTTATATAATCCGCTACTGCTACTGAAAATGTGAACAAATGAAACTGCACTAATCGACAGCTCTAATAAGTACAATACTGATAGAATTTCTCTTAATAAGTATACCTGACTCTGACCAAAGATCATGCAGGAGGTAAAATCCAGTTACCCAGTTTCCACCTAATCGAATGATAGGCCACGAAGCCAAAATTCACAACCATAATGAACAAGTATACTCGGATCGGCCGAGATCTTATCAGCCCCACAGTCTCCGCACCACCCGATTTCACCTCTCAAAATCGTACACAGACCCACACAAACAACAGCGCGCACCGCAGATCGGCAAACCAAACCAAGCGGATCTAACGGACAGGGCGTGGGTAAGGGAATAATAGACACGAACCTAGGCGGAACCGACGATGATGTTGTTGATGGGGATGAAGATGAGCTTGACGAAGAAGCCGACGAAGCCCATCACGACGAACCCGATCGCCGTCCGCGCCGCCACCTTGGTGAACTCTGCAAGCCCAGATCACACAGAAACACCGTCAGATCTGACCATGGAAGAACCAAAACAAACTCGGATTCGAACAGGGCACGGCGGATGGAGGGGGGATCCTTGCACGTACCCTTGCGGTCGGGCTTGTGGCAGCGCTTGACGAGGCGGACGCTGTCCTTGGCGAAGTCGCGGAGGGGATCCACCACGGAGTCGATCGCATCCATGGCGACGGGGTCGACGGGGCGACACGCGGGGGGTGGATGGGTGTGGAAGGAAGCCGACGCGAGAATGCGGCTTTGCCTTTGGGAAGTTGCCTGTCTTTCCTTTCCTGATGGGTGGCCCCTTTATACAGTCTTCTCTACTCAGTATATCGAAGAGCTACACGTCGTTCCACAACTTTGCTTGTTCATCAGTTTGTTGAAGTTTTTGTCCGCGTTTCCTTTTTGACCGTCTCTGGTGCTGCCGTGCTGGGATCGACGAGCATCGACAATATATGTACCATACTACTAGTAACAATTAATGCATGGTAATTACATTATTTCCTAGTACAAAATCAATTTAACAATTTAATTTCGTTCAGAATACATCCTCAATTTCTTCAATTGCTACAGTACCAACAACATAAACGAATATGGATATACAGTTTTATATTACTAAGCATTCCCAAAGTTCGACTGATTGGTGGTCAAAGCTTTACATACTGTTAAATTGCCTAATCGGCGTGAAAGGAAAGGAACTGAGGATATCATTCTATGAGCAATAAATGCAGCCTAAAGCTTTGTATCCCTTGTAGATCCCTTGTAGAAATGACATGAACAGATCAGCAGGAGCATGCAAATCCCTTAATCCGACATGGTTTGGGTCTTTAGGTCAGCCTAGAACTTGCTAAAATAAATTAGAATGGCACGAACTAAAACTGACCTTAAAACACAATTGGCTAATGGCAACACACTTATATGCATGAGGACGGCGGCAACGAACCGAGATGGTTGTAACTTCGAACAATACATCACAGTTCACAGACGATACAAAATACATAAACAGGGACAAAATAAGCCAATATACACAAGAGGTCAATGTGAGGGAATCATTGAGGCGTTGGAAATTTCATGTATTTTCAAGTGGCCAGATGGCCAGAAGAACTCCGTTGAGAGTCTCATCCATCATCGCACATTAAACACATCAACAAAATATATCATGCGAGGCAAGGGGATGCAAAGTATAGAGGTGAAAGCCATGAGAATTTCCTCTTATATATCACTCTACAGTTGATTCAGCTTTCAGGACACCAGAGGAGGCAGCAGTTCCAGTTTATTTAAGCTATGGATCAAGGGGACAGTAGTAAGCCTACGCTCAGCTATGTACCTAACACTAAAGTCAACAAAATAGCATGGCATTAGGGGAGCATCTGGGTTTCTGCAAATTGTGTGGAAACCCAGAGACACCCCTCTACCCCTCTGTCAAGTGGGAGCCACGTGGCGAAAGAGTAAAAAAATCTATCAAGCAAACAATGCTTGCTCCAATTGCAGTTTCGAGCAATCAATCAGCTAGCATTTACTTACTAGCTCACAGCCCTTCAGTTTATATACCAGCTATAACATGAGCACACAGGCTCACTTGTATGCTCGAATGGCCTCTATTCTCACCAGCTATAGCAACGCAGTCATGCTTTTATTGGGCATCAATACCATCCTGCTCAAAAAATTTTGAGGTTATTCGTCGGCGCAGTCCATCATGTTCAGATCCATCACGATTCATGCTGGGGGTTCCATTACTGTCATTTTCTTGCCCACAGCTGTTATTTTTTGTGGTCAAAATTGCAAGGCCATTTTCATCAAGGTGGTCGGACGCTGCTCTTATTTGGAATGAAGATCCATTTGTCGTACAATCCGAAACCCTTTCTTCTGCATGGTCTGGCATTACTGCAGCACCATTAGATTTTGTATCCATTGAAATGTCAGAGCTTGTGCCTAGGACCGTGGATTCCCTGCGATGCCTTGTAAGGAAACCAGGAGACAAGCCACCTATAGAAGATGAGTTGTTACTTGACTTACTTTTTCCATTCCCAAAGGATGATGATGCACCATTACTAAATGGCAAGCCATCATCTGCTTTGACTGAAATTCCTCTAGAACTAGGCCTTCCAAGGAAGCCCCGAGGTAAAAATGATATGTCCCCTTGGCAAGCTTTAGGTTTCCCATTGCTTGTCCTACTGCAATTGTTGTTGCTGTCTGATAGTACTTTGTAAGGTCTTGGCTCAAAGCCATGAGAAACAAAAGGCACATCTCTCTTGTCTGCATGCAAGGAATCATTGCTAGATTGTATATCACCATTGACTGCATAGTAATTGCCATTACTGGATGTCACGAGTGTATCTCCATTGCACTTTTCACTTCCAGAGTTGGCAAGAACTCCTTGCTCTAGACTGCTGAGATGTCCATTGCAATAGCCATTTAACTTTCGAGGAGAACCAGCACTATCCTCTTCTGCAAAGGAAGACCTTTTTCTTGAGGGCTTATCAAAAAAACCAGAGGAAAATGATGGTTTGGGTTCTCCTGACATCCCATTCGCAGTTGGAATTGCTGTGCTATTATTCGGCCTTCCAACTGAATCATCTAAGGCAGGTCTTTGTCCGTCCCATCTCTCAACTTCTGTGCCAGCTTCAGTATCAACATCCATATAGTCAACTGAATCAATACATGAGGCAGGCACCTCGCATTGCTCTGCAGAGGAATGTTCTGAAGATGCTTCGCTTGTGGAGTTGCCAAACTGCACAGAGCTCATAATAGGACCACCTTCTAAAGGAGGGCCAACTTGCACCTCGCATTGCTCTGCAAAGGAATCTGGAGCTCTAGCATCTTCGAGAACATGTGATACTAGTGAACCTGGTATATGTAGATTTTCATTGCTAATGAATTTGTCATCTTCAATGCTTGTACGTAGATCCAAGTCTGACTCCTGGTCCTTAATATCCATTTCATGCAAGGATTCATTATTGGATTCACAATCCTGTTGTAACTGATCTTCTGTAGTCTTCAAAGATGATTCACAGTTTAATGTTGCATCTGCTAGTATCATGTGGCTTTGTCCATTTGAAGGGAACAATTTGCACTGTTGTTGCTGTTTCACAGACTCATCAACTGTAACAAGTGGCCTGGGACGAGCTTTTCTCCTGCAGAGTCAAATGGAAATGGAAATTTTTCAGCTCTTCAGTCCAAACGGCACGCTTTACAGCAATCTGACAAGTACTAGTTAAATATATAAGAAAAAAATGGATTCAATGGAGAAAACATGTAAATTTTAGAATGAGAACAATAGTGTCCCAAAAGGGTTAAGATTAGACAATTATGATACACATTTAGTTGTTTGGCTGAAATCAAAAGAACAAACAATAAACATAGGGAAAGCAGGTTGAGCTATGTGCTTGACTGCTTGTCACATTGTGCATTATCACAGTTGATAGTTCATACAGCAGGGTTTAGGTTGGTTCGATATATTTCCCATTGGCCGCATATGTTCTTTCACCTCCCAAAACAGGCAATATGGATATTTTTTTCCAGTCAGTATAGTACAATTGTATTTGGTTGACGATGACAAAACCAAGCACACAATCCTGGGAGCAGCAGTACAAATGCAAAAGAAAAGCAAGAATGTCCATATGATCAGATCAAGCAGAAATTGACAAATAGATTTGGATTCTCGTGAGGTACAAATGTGAGGTTTTAATATAAACGAGCACTGCACCCAACCCCACATGAAAAATGAGACAGACGATGATAGGCAGCATCAAAATCATTGGAACAGCAAATACCTGCTATATAAAAGCATATAAGCGCCTTGAGCATGTACTTCCTCCTCATCAACAACCATAACCTACATATACAAAGAAGCAAGCTGGTAAAATGGTGCTTATAACAGATTATTTGTGTCGTAACAATACAAATGTTAAACTATATATACCTTGCAGTCATCAATTTTATACCACCTTCCTTGATAACCTTTGATATAGCATATATAGTGTCCAAAAAATGACGCATTCAGCATATCCAGATGAACGACCACAGCATAGAGATCATACAGGTCACTTCCATCAGTGCAACTCGTGTATGGTGTCAGATCTAAGTCCATAGGGAACGTAACTCTCTTATTCAGTTTCCCAAATCTACCACTCTGTTACAGGCACATACAAGTTTGTTATTCGAAGTTGTTATAATGCAATCATATAACTTCATTGATACAGTTCTAACAAACTGATGTCGTAACCTGGAATCTTTTGAGAGTGATAGTAAGTATATTTGGAGCTTGATGAACTGAAAGATGCTTCCGTGCTTTCACATAGTCGTTGCATCTGCATAAAAGAATGTTCAATACTTTGATCTAAACGACGTCTACAAACTGAAACCACATGCTACCTCTGATCCCAAATATAGGTCCATTTGGACTTGGACAGAAGGATTTAGGTGAGGGTACAATGAATATTAGCCATCAATCATTTCTACAGTTAAGATAGGTGGCAATTTATTTCATTGATTAGGGTGCATTTAAGTAGGGGCAGGCATGGGAAAATAAGGCAAAAGATTGCATTGGAGTTGTAATTGAACTTATATTTGGATTGGGGGAAGTACATGCAACTGGCCAAAATACAAGTGGTCTGGATGTGAATTTATAATTATGCTCCTCAAATTATGGCATATGAGATGACATACTTCCCTGCTCCTCTAGTAAAAAATACAGGACTTTAGGTAATTCCAGAAATACGTGATAATTAATTATTTCAGCATTAAATAACCAGAATTAATAATTTATTACAAAATTAATAATATGAATAGCTACCAGCTCACCTAGGCTTTAGAACACACTAGTGTTTGACTTCTAGTTATTTACGCCCATGTATTTACAAGACATTCAAATGTGCATACATGATATAAATTTGTGCTTTGTACTGATCATTAGGGGAAAAAAAGGTAATCTCAGCATGCACTCAAACTAAATTGGTTGATAAATGTGGCTACAAAATATGTAGGAAGTGCATGTGTCTAGATACATGAACTAAGCACTTGCACAAAGCCACACTTACCCATCACATTTGTACTTATTATCCCCATCAAGCCACTCAATAGCAGTGAACTGATCCAAGCATTTTTCCAATGATTCAGCATCACCTTGAATTTCAACAGTCAAATCCATCATATTATCATAGCGGTTTGAGACCATTCCACATGCA